CCATTCCGACTCCGTTTTCTTCAATACAGGCCTGGAGCCTCTGTCTCAGCCTCCCTTCTCTTACCTCAACTCTTCGTTTCGCCTGGATGATATTTTTAGTTCTTTCATATAATTCATTGTGGGATAGTTGTGAAAGTGGTACATGACTAAAATGTTCAGTTTTACCTGGTTTGACCGACTTGTTTTGCTCACATGTATTTTTACTGTCATTGCAATGCATAGCATACAGAGTGTTTCGGAATTTGCAGCAAGAGTCACATCTTTCTTTGTTACCTTCCAATATTAATTGACAGTCTGCTGCTTTAATGGTGGAATGAAACATTGTCCCTGCTTTGTTTTGTATTGTTACATGTTGCTGTTTTCCAACAATCTTGCCATTTCTTCCATAACTTTTGAAAATACCATGTCTTGAATCTGCCAATGGGTGGAATTTACTGTCAGGATTACCAATGCACACAGTTGCTGAATTGACTGTGTTCAGAAGATCCAAGACTGCTGACAGCCCAGTAATGACCTGTGGTACATGTGAAAATATATTTCGCTTCCCACAATCTTCTCCATGAATTGCAACAGACCAGTTTAAATCTCTGTACACGGATATGTTCTTTGTAATTTCAGGTTGTCTTGTCGCATTCTTCACAATGTACGATAACTGTAAACACTCATCATCAGCAAGGTAAACCCAACCAATTGGGAGAGAACATCTTTCAACCCCTTCTCTGATGTAATAATATGGCAATATATATGTGGGTACACAACTGATAGATGGCAGATGAGAATGTGGAGGAGACACAGAAGATGCAATATTTGTCACAGTACCAAAATTATCAGTACAACTATCACTGGGGGAATTGGACAGCAAACAATGGGCGACATCCAGTCCTGGTGTTGAATCCAAAGATATGTTGTTATGTCTACTGTCTGGGTGGTCACACACAATTTCAGCAAATTGTCTGAGAAGGGGATGTTCTTCAGTTGCATCATTGTCTGTACTGACAGGTTGCAGGATGTCAATATCATTGTGATGTGGTGTTGCTTCCATCACTGTGTGTCTTGTATATCATGACCGTTTGGCACATGGTCAGAATGATTTATGGCAATTCCAGCAAAGTCATCAAGGGGATTGTATGTTTGGGGAGATGACAAACCTTGACTAGATACATTTTTCTTCTTTTTCAGTCTTGCCTTGGAACTCTTCTTTTTTTCAAAATTCTTTATTCTGTACCCAAGACCCTTTTTATATGGCATGATGAGCTACAAAATAAACAAAAATTGTTTTTGTTTTTTAATTGAACTGTAATGTGCATAAAGCTAATAATGTTTAATGAGCATTATTTGGTTACATAAGGTAACACTATATATATTTACCAGGTCATTTTGAGATATCTTTACCATATGGAACCAACGATAATTGGTATAAGATAACTAAGTTACTGTAATATAGTGA